TTGCATTTGCAGTTGCATGTGCATTTGGTACATGTGCATGTGCATTTGCAGTTGCATGTGCATGTGCAGTTGCAGTTGCATGTGCAGTTGCATTTGCAGTTACATGTTCATGTGCAGTTGCATTTGCAGTTGCAGTTAAAAAAATATAAATATTTACGAGACAACGAATTTGTAATTAAAAATATTCTAAAATATAAAAAATAAACTTATCCAAATTAAGTTCTATTTCTTTTTTTGATGTCCAAATTTTCTATGATACCTTCTTAATAAAAAATAAAAATTGTTAAACCTAACGATGGGGTAATAAAATATCATTGTATTTTATTTTTCTAAACGTTTTAAAATAACGAGAAATTATTTTTACGAATTTGTAATTAAAAATTTTCTGAAATATAAAAGATAAACTTATCCAAATTAAGTTCTATTTCTTTTTTTGATGTCCAAATTTTCTATGATATCTTCTTAATAAAAAATAAAAATTGTTAAACCTAATGTGATGGTAATATTATATCATTGTATTTTTTTTTTCTATACGTTTTAAAACGATGAGGAATTATTGTCTACTATAGATTTTAATTAAATGTTATGAAATTAAAATGATTTACTTACCAGGATATCCTTCTGGTATGACAATTTCTGGTCCAACTTTGACATCGTGACGATAACGATGCATCAACAAAGTTGCGGTTACCCTGAGTGATCTTTGTTGTTGTTTGTATAGTAAAATAGGACGTCCACCTGCACCCTCGACTCTGACAACTCTCGGTAATGAAAATCTGTCCAGGAAATCCCGCAAAGGTATGAAACCACCTGTAGAACCAGCAACTTCAGCTGTTGCTTCGCGAGAACTTGGCAAGGAATCATCACCGGTTCCAGTGGCCTCACCGCTTGACAATGTTGAAAATTCTCCACTTGATGACATCTTTGTTTTTTTAATCCTTCTTTTCCTAAGAAACAAACATTTAAACGTAAGCATTAACAACAAAATTCAACAAGTTTTATTATTGTATTATGATTAATTTGATAAATGCAATTGAATCTCGTATAATGTGAATTCTTGTTTTCAATTTTAATTTAATATATTATAAACATAAATTGTTTCGTATTATTTTTATCATAAAACAAAATTTTACTTGTAATATTGCAATATTCTAAATCATTGTTTTATCAATTTTATGTTATAATAATTTCTAATGGTACAATTGGGACACAAGATCTAATTGCATTTGTTTAATTATATTATTTGTATTATTATATATATACTGATTATTTTTGTCAATTGTTAATTTAATAATATTATCGATTGGTGTCACCATTATTAATCATAATCATCGTTCGAACGATTACGTAATGGCAATGATAGTTCTATATAATTTAATAGACATTTTGTAATGAATGGAACCAAGCGGAAACTTACATTTGTTACGGGGTTTATACGTAATATCAGGGAAAGCGGAAAAATATTAAAGGAAATGATAGAAGGTAAACTAAAAAGATAGAAAACTAATTGTATAGTATATTCCAAATAAAACTAATCAAGTGTTTACAATAATCGTTCAAAATTATAAATATATATATATATAAAAGTAATTTTATAAATTCATTTCAAATGGTGTGTAAAATTTATAGAATTATAATTTGAATTTATTAAGGGATTCCATAAAAGATTTAAATAACACTAATGCATAATAAAATCCTTTCTCATTGCAAGTTGGTTTATTTATCCAATAACACACACATTATATAATATAAAATAAAATAATAAATAAAATATTAATGTAAAGCAATATATAGTATACGATGTAATAAAAAAAATAGAGAATATGAGAGGGATGAAAATACGGAAAGAGGATGCAATTTTCTTACGAGCCATCGTTCAACACCCCCATACTTTTCCACGTGTTATGGAATTCGTCGTTCCACGAAGCGTAACAACCTTGACAGTGATTCGCCAGAGGCATAAAAGCATACAAGTTAACGAGTGATCATGCTTCGGCTTTGGTTGACGACGATTCCCGCCATTACTACCATCATCATCATCATCATCATCATGATGGTGATGATGATGATAAAAGTGATAATGACGACTAGAGATGATAGTGATGATGATGATGAATTTATGATGATTATTATTACCACTGAACTACGCAGATATCGTTTTACCTTACGGCTCTTTAAATATCTTCCTTGCATTTATATGTGTGTGTGTGTGTGTGTGTGTCGTAAAAAAGTTATATAGAAAAAAATATGATAGAATGATATAAGAATTTAAAATGATTTATATTAATATTATTATTATTGTGTGAACCAATTAAATAAATAAATAATTTGATATAAATATTCCACAAATAATATAATAATATTTTTCAATTATTCGAAATTAAATTTTAATACACGATTAAATCAACAATTAAATATTTCACCGTGTATATATCATTTTTTTTCTTATTTATATTCTATACAAATATTTTAATATTATTCCAATTGAAAACGTTTATTAACCAACACCATTAATGTTTACAAGAATCTTTACTTATCTTTCTCTCTCTCTCTCTCTCTCTTTTTCAAAGTATAGAATATTGATGATTAATAAATAACCAACACTCGAAAGTACAAAATCGCATAGGTATTCCGAAGAGCTTAGTTACTATACCGGACAACAAGTAGATACGTTCTTCTCTCTCTCTCTCTCTCTCTCTCTCTTTCTCTCTCTCTCTCTCTTTCTGTTAGATTTATTTCCGTGTTATTATAGGCCGATTCTGTTCGTCCATATAATCCACGAGTTTGCGGGATATTATTTACATATTCTCACAAGCGTTTCAGTATACATAATGCGTTTTCTACCAATACACATGCACTTCATATTCTATCTCTTACTCTCTCAATACACATGCACATCATACTCTCTCTATCTCTCTCTCTCTCTCTATTTTTCTTTCTCTTTCTTTCTTTCTTCTTTTGATATTTTTCTTTCTTTTTGTTTTGTTTTTTCTTATTTCATAGTTACTCGCACCTGTAACATTTCCCGAACGAAGAGACGTGTTCATGGCAATATTACGGACATTGCATACGAATGACGAGAATTAATATTCCACATATGTAAGATATGATGCGTGGAGACTCTCGGGCATTATCCACGGTCCTGGTCATGAATACACATGAGTTAGAAAAAGATAGATATATGAATGGGAAAAAGAAAAATATAAAACGAGTGTGTGAGTGAATGAGAGACACTTCGTTTATTCTTTATTCGTTCGTTTTTCTCTTTCACCCTGTGCTTTTCCATTTCCTTTCCTCACACGGGACAAAATTAACCTAACCTATTCCCAAGAAATCAAGCTCCTCCTCCTCCTCCTCCTCCACCTTCTTCTCCTCCTCCTCCTCCTTGGGTTCGCGATAAAATGTTTAAACCGGTGAACGCTAGACGTTAATTTCCATGTAATAGAGATTTAATTGCACCATAAAAGGTACACCCAAGATTAAAGTTTCGTGCGACCCCCTTTTCATTCTATTTTTGTTCCTTTTATTTCTTCTTCTTTTTCTTATCCCATTTTCCACCATATTTTTCTTTTTTTTTTCGGAATTAAACTCTAAAGAGAAAATTAATTGTTCGATTTAACACACATGAAATTAATTGGTATGTAATAATGCATTTTTTTTTTTTTTTTTTTTGGAAATATATTTTGAGTATTGAGTCATATTGTTTGTACATTGTATGATCCTGATGGATTAATAAATCAATTGTGTAAAATTTGTAATAAAACAAATGTCGTTAACTTGTCAACTTTTAAGTCTCTTCTATTATCGAAGAGAGAACCTCGACATTCATTGAATTCCACGACTTTCGTCCTTTCTCCACTCGCGGTGAACGCTCCGAGTTAAATCGAGGTTCTATCGTCGAGAACGAGAGTGGAATCGAACGAGTAGTTAATTCCTAATCTATCTTTTTAACCCTTTAAAACAAATCATTCGTGTCGTGGATCAAGGAACAAATATATAATATATAATACGATTATTATTATTATTATTATTATTATTATTATTAATATTTTGTTTTTTGTTTGTGCTTAGATATATAATTTATGGTACAAATAATTTATTTGTAATCCAATATTATACTTCTATGTGAGATATTTACATCGAATATTTGATTAGCTTAATTAATATATTTTGTGTTTAAATAAATAGTCATGGTCTGTAATTTTCCTATTAGACCGTAATAGCAAACGCGTTAAATAAATATCGAACGAGAAATCGATTAGATAACGATATCTTTTGTTTCTTTTTATTTTTTTAAATCTATGAACTATATGGGTTTAGTGTAAGATCTATCTATAGAAATCAAATATGGCGGAAAACAAAAACGATCGATCGAGTCGTGAAATATGTCGTATTTCGATGAATTCCAAACGATATAAATAAACTTAAATGAAAGAAATTAAAAATAAGATTAAAAGATAAAATAATTTTGAACATTAATTGTAAGAAAAAAAGAAATGAAATAAATCAAATAAAGGGGAATCACAAATAAGTGAAGAACCGTTATTCTTTCGTTTGAATTCGCAGATGGCGCTAGTTATATAGATCGAGCTAAAAGTGAAAGTTCAGATTTAGCAATTTACTCGGGAGTCGAGCAATCGCGTTAATCTTGGATATACGCTTTATGTTTTCCGTGCAACATAATTTTACACGTTCCACCGCGCCTGCCTGCCTGCCTGCCTGCCTGCCTTTTACATAAATCCTGATTTAAGAATAAAGTAGTACGAAATGTGCAAAGAACAAATTTAATAATAAAGGGAGTAGTAGTGCGCATGCGCGTACCTTAGCGGGTTCGCGCATGCGTACTTGCTTGCTTACATGCTTGCGTGAGTAAACGAACACGAAGAGTTTCAACGAAGCGTACAAGTTTATCTAACCTTTTTTTTATTTGCGTAAATACTTTTTGCGTAAACGTAATAATTAATACTAATATAAATTTAATAATTTATATATAAAAAAAAACAATAAAAATATAATATATTCCGCGTTTATGTTATACGATATAATTAATTAACTTACGTTTCTTTTCTTTTCTTATTTTTATGGGCGAAAAATTCAACTTAGAAAGGAAACTTCTTTTTTTTTAATCGACTCGGAGACGCACTCGGTATTTCGGTTATCGATTATTTCGTCACGCGGCCATTTCAAGCGGATTAACCTTTCCCGGGTGTTTCTGTTAGGCTAGCAGCAAACCATTGGTGATGGTGGTGGTTATGGTTTTGTTGCGTTCACTCGAATAAATGCTCGACATTTCGTCGATTATTATCGATCCATCTATCCGCCAGTCATTTCCTTCTGAATTAATATTCCCCCCTCTCACCCTCTCCCTATCTCGCCCCCACCCTCAAGACTCTCTCTCTCATTATGTCTCTTTCTAATATTTTTCTTATTTTTATCTAAACTTCGTTCAACAATCTTTAATAGCAAAAAATTAACTGTAACGTTAATTATACACTCGTAGATAAAGAAACTACATTTTTATTTGACATAACGATTAGAAAATCAATTGGACACGTAGAATCATCCTAAGAATCGTAAAACGTTGGGATGTGCAACAACCCCTTGTTAAAAAAGCTTGACCTTGAAGGTATATTAAATGTACCGTTAACAAATTATCGCATTTTGTCTTGGATTACGCAGTGGGATAAAAACAAAACAAAAAGAGTACAAGAAGAATAAGAAAAATAATATAAGAATAAAAGATAGAAAGAGACAGAGAGCGAGAGAGATAACCAGAAATAAAAAGAGAAAGAGAGAAAAAAGATTGTCCGTTATGGCAAGGAAGCTCGTAAAAGATTTGATCCAATGTAGAAAAAACTATTCGTAGAAAACATAATGTAGTGGAGATTGATAGTTAACGGGTTGTTTAACAGGTGACTAATTGTAAGTATTTATATATATATATATATATATATGCATTAATGATTCTCAGTAATATTTATATAATATATGCATGGTACTTATATGAGATAGGTGGTAAACGAAAGACGATCCAGTATCCGGATTAAATTGCGGTATTTATTACGCAAGTAAAACGATTTCGAACTGGTAGAGTGAGATTCGACCTGCGCAAGAATTCTTCCATTATCGTTAAGCCATGACGTGGACACCAATGCACGTGTGCAACGTCGACTAGATCGAGGGGAAACAGAGGGGTTGGGGAAGGGTAGGATCGTGAAATTGTTTCGTAACGTGATACGGAACTTTACCGATTCTCCTGTTAAACGTCGCATCGTTCGATGTTGAATAAAATGATGCGTACTATGTTAGAAAATGATACGCGTTCTTCTATGTATGTATATAGGGGTGTGTAGGTGTATATAAGGTTATTTAAACTATATATGGGGTGTATATAAGGTGTATAGGTGTATTTGAATATCGTATAAGATATTTATGTATATAGGTAGCACACATACCTTGATACTGATGTGTGTAGGTGTATATAAAATTATTTGAGTATATAGGGGGTGTATATAAAGTGTGTATAAGTGTATTTGAGTATCACATAAGATATTTATATATATATATAGGTGGCACATATCCCTTGATACTAATGTGTAGGTGTATTTAAAATTATTTGACTATATAGGGGGTGTATACAAAGTGTGTATAAATGTATTTGAGTATCACATAAGATAATTATATATATATAGGTGGCACACATCCCTTGATATTAATGTGTAGGTGTATTTAAAATTATTTGAGTATATAGGGGGTKTATATAAAGTATGTATAAGTGTATTTGAATATTGTACAAGATATTTATATATATATAGGTGGCACACAATCTTGATACTGATGTGTGTAAGTGTATATAAAATGTGTATAGGTGTATTTAAGTATCGTGTAAGATATTTATATATATATATATAGGTGGCACACACATCTTGATACTGATGTGTGTAGGTGTATACAAAATTATTTGACTATATAGGGGGTGTATATAAAGTGTGTATAAGTGTATTTGAATATTGTATAAGATATTTATATATATAGGTATCACACATATCTTGATACTGATGTGTAGGTGTATATAAAATTATTTGATTATATAGGGGGTGTATATAAAGTGTGTATAAGTGTATTTGTATATTGTGTAAGATATTTATATATATATATAGGTGGCACACACCTCGATATTTGAGAATATTTTTTCTTCTTTCCTTCCTTCCTTCCTTACTTCTTTACTTTTGATATTTTTTGTTAAAGGATTCCTCAACGATCCCCGATCAAACACACGAATCTCCACTCGCACAAACTAGTAAACTCATCGACAGGGAGGAGTGCACGGAAACGAGACGGCACCATCTTTCCTTCTCTTCGAATCCTTCTTTTATGGTACTTGAAAACTTTCACTCGATTAATCGTGCGAAAATACGACTATGAGACTATTTCTATGGTACGGGGATAATGTTAGTCCTTTCGATTTGCGGATTGGTAAAAATAAATAAGAGGAATATATATATTATTCATAAATGGAAAGAGAGAAATAAAAATACAAATGAAAATAATATAATTGTAGAATAATTGTTAAACAAAATTATAAAAGTACTACATATATATATTAATAATAATTTCTTTATTCACATTAATCAAGAAATATCATACGTATAAAACGTATGATAATATGATAAGATAAATAATTCTAATAATTTTGATTTATTCATTAATTAAAAACAAATATATATATCAATCAAACAACACTAACTTACATATTAACGTTTATGATGATAATAATAATAAGATAAAATAATTAATAACAAAGTAACTCTTTTCATTTGTTCTAATCAATAATATATATATCAATTAAACCGTCAAGAACATAACACGAACATATATATAATAATAATAAAATAAATAAATAAAAATTACTTGTGATATATATTTGTTGTTATAATCAAAAAAAAAATATATTTTTAGATGATTCGAAGAATACCAATAAAGGAATGAGGAAAAAGGATCAAGTTACCGTTGATCGTACCGATCAATCGATCAATCGAAGGAAACCAAGATGAAGATAATAATAAATATAAGGAAAACACTCTCTATATATATATTTATATATATATATATACGGTTTAAACAGCGACGGGATCGAACGGGATCGCACGACTGGAAACTTGTCGAGGAGACGAGGTTCGTTCTACGTTCATCCAAGCTTGGAATCCCCACTTCTTCTCTTGCCGTTTCAAATAAACTGTATCGCGCAGGCTCAAGTTCTCTTTCTCTTTCTATCCTTCTGTCTTTTCCATATAGCTATCTCTTTTTCGTCTCTCGTTTCTTCGTTCCCTTTTGCTGACTATGTGTCTTTACTTATATATACCCCTCCCTAACGTTGTTTTGCTGCTTCTTACCTTCTCTTACCTTTTCTAACTCAACTTTATCCAACTTTTTGTTTCTAGTTAGCCTTTCTCTCTGTTTTATCTTCTATCTTCTGTTACCTTCCCCCTTACGCACTTATTCATCCTCTTTCTTTCTTTCTTTTTTATTACAAATTTTTCTGTTTTTTTTTTTTTTGTTTAAAATCGAAACAAAATTGTATACGATCATATGAATAATATAAAATAATTTTTGATTGGTTTAATATATATTTGTTTAATTAATTAATAGTGTTGAATGTATATAATGTATATTATAATAATTGAAATAATTATAGTATTATAGATATGTGTAATACATATATTTGTTTAATTAATTAATAGTGTTGAATGTATATATAATATATTAT